TTTTAAGATTTCCTTCCAACAAATTGGAGTCGTACCACTCGGTAGCGAGAGCAGCGCTTTCCTTTAGTTTTGTGGTGACAGAATGTAAGTCTGTCCCTGTTTCGTAGATCTGGTGGTCGTCAGCATACATCGATAGGGGTGAGGTTGTATTATACGTCATATCATTTTGGAAAATATTCCAAAGGAGGGGTCCTAGTGCGGATCCTTGCGGGCATCCTCGACTTGTACACCTAAACGAGCTTGTAAGGGAACCCATTCTCACCCGATTGTATCGATCACATAAGTAGCTACGCAGTAGGTTTATCGCATTATCTTCGAATCCGTAAGCTTTCAATTTACTTAGCATAAGTGGAGGGTGGAGAGAGTCGAAAGCCTTCGACATATCTGTGGATAAGATACTGGTGCACTGGCGATTAATTATTCAAATTGGAAGAGCTTTAACCCGATCCAAAAAAGCTAATGATTCATTTTGTGCTTTGTATCGTTACATTTTATTTCACAGGCAATCCTTTAACATTATTTTCTCTTAGATAATCAGTAAAGCGTTACTTTATTTAATGAACGCCTTTGAATTTTCACCGATAATGACTGCAGCAGATGTTTTGAATAGTTTTTAGCCTGTCGCAAGACCCTCTACTTTGTCTTAAGTTCATGAATATCGCAAACAAGGTATTATGAACAAGCCAGAAAAAAAAAAAAAAAGAAAAAAAAAATTAAAAAAACGTCGCCGGACAGACCAGGTAGTTTGAGATTTATTTGTTCTTTAATTTTCGGTTGGATAATAGACTTTAGCTTCCTACACCGTTTGCGAAAGTACTTAATGTAGTAGTATATATCGAATTTTCTATTTCGGGATTATCGCTAGCATACTTCTGTTCATATGATCAGGTTAAATTCTCTCTGTTCGCTCTGTCTTCCGCCGGTTGTCTTTACTTTTCTTGCTCCATTACGTCCATTAGTTGACCATATCCTAGAAAGCTGGCTTCATACTTTGGTCTTCGAACCCTTTTTTCTCTCCGGTTTTTCCTGCAAAACCCAACGAACATTAGATCCTTTTTCGAACGGTTTTTTTTTCCTTCCTAATAAGGAAATCTGTAGAAAACAACTGACGCAAAAGTCCTAATCAAGAACTCTATAAATTTTGTAACGGCTGATATTCATTAAACGCGTTTATAACTACCGAGTTCAGGTGTTTTAAAACGCTAACTGTGAAAACCGTTTGTCAACGCGCCCCCGGCGGTGTCACTACCTTGGCAATTTTGTCAACCTAAAAATCTCTCTATTATCTACGTGCTTAGCTTTTTGTAATTGTCGATGATATCTTCTGACCCTGTCCTTTCCTTTCTCGTGCTGTTTGTTTTATTGCTATTTTCAGATACTGGAAGGAATATTCATTAACAGAACCGTTTGTTCAGCTGAAACTGTATCTTCAAGACAGTCGAATGTAAAGGAAAAGCGAAAACTCGCTTTCATTTCCTTAACCGTCACAGTTGCTTACCATTTGTCTCATCTGCCATTTTGTTGTTTGAAATCTACATAGCTTTTCAACCTTATCAAGCAATTTTGGATAACTACGAGTATTTCTATAAAGTTTATCGAGTCGTTGTCTTGTACGTAAACTCGTGCTGGAATCCGTTTTTCTATGGCTTCCAGAGCTCGAATATATTACCGAAAGAACTGTATAAGAGTCTTTATTAGAAAAACAATGTCAGACAACAACTCCATGACGTTCGGGTCAAGCTCTCTTCTAAGGAAGATCGACAGATCGTCTTGAAAGAAAATAAATAATCTCTCGAAAAAAAGGCTTATTGCTCGTTTGGTTTGCTTAGGATGGAAGGCAGAAAAAAAGGGTTCTATGACCAAGGTATGCCGGAAGCCAGTTTTTAGATACAAAGGTCAACTAATGGACCTAATGGAGCAAGAAACGTAAAGAGAACTTGCAGAAAACAGAGTGAACCAACAGAGAGAGCTTAACTGATACGAACGAAAGTATGCTAGCCGCTAAGTCAGTTAAATGAGCTTCTTATGCTAGCACGTATGTTAGCACTAAGTTAAATAGTTTGTTATCACTTAACTAAACACTGGACTGAGATATAGGAATACAGGAAATATTTCTACTACATCATGAAACTTTAAGTGTTTCATCCAACCGAAAAGAACAGGAAAAACTCAAACTACCTGGTCTGTCCACAGATTATTTTATTTTATTTTTTGCTTGCGATCTCGATGAACTCAAGACAAGGACGAAGAAGACAAAGTAGAGGGTCTGTCCACATACTAAAAACTACCAAAAACATCTGCACTCATTATCGGTGAAATTTAAAAGCGTTTGTTAAAACAATAATGAGTCAATTAAGGGCAAAAATAAAGTAACGCTTTACTGATTATCTAAGAAAAATTAAAATGAAAGAACTGCTTGTGAAATAAAATGATTCAGTATTGTAAAGCTGGTTTTACGGTTTTACTTACTTACTTCAATTTCGAGAATGACCAAAATTCAAAATTAAAGAAAAAGATGACAAATTTTTTTTGTCTAGATATTATACTGAACAAACAGCACGACGGGTATACTGTTAATTTATACACTCTTATCAGAATGGTTACACAGGGGAGTTTCATCAGCAGACCCAACTTTTTTTTTCTAGAGGTGTGTAAGAGTCATAATTCGTAATTTGCCGCTATTCTGACAATGATTCTTATCTTTCTTCCCGTTTTAATCCTGTTCCGTGTAGTAAATATGAATCCGACGACACCTAACCAATGATGTTTTAAAATGCTCCTTAGTAAGCCCCTATACATACCTCTTATGCCACTGACATATTTATTCTCGCGTCACCTGTCCGCTTCACAATGTACTTATATTGTAAAAAGAAGATCTGCATGAATTAAATGTTGATAACTCTTAGCTTCAGAACTAATAATAATTCTCCATTGTCTCCTTCATGATCATTAGTTTAGGTTTTGTTCTAGTTCCTATTTTTAAATTTCAGTTACAATTGTAGAGAGTTAGCCGAAGAAATATTAATTAATAAAAGGTTACCTTTCTTCCCCCTTTCCTATCCCCCTATTACCCTTTTTTGGCAAGCTAGAGTCGGCATTTCAGTTATTTGAACTTTGAAAATTGAAAAAAACATCTTGCTTAATGAGCAAAACGCATTCAATCGCGCACGTAAAGTGATTATCAATATTGGTGTGTGTGGAGTCCTTTAACCCAACCAGCTGAAGCAGATTGATGTATGATAATTTCTAGCAACAATTTGAACCAATAGAATAGATTAATTTCCTTTAAAGACAAACATAAAAAAGCCGTAGCTAATAAACAGGTGAAAGCGTCAAACTGTGAACTTAACGGGGAATTCGAATCTCGTCTGGGCCATAAACAACTGCTCAGATTAAAGGCAGGTTCTGATAAAGGCGGGGTTTCATCAATCTAAATGAAATGGCGAATATTTCTGTCAACACGAGTCTTTATAACTCCCTGTCACCTTTTAACGTAGCACTGGTTGTTCTTTACTCGATCATCGTGGTCGTAGGCCTCGCAGGGAACAGCTTAGTCATCGCCATTGTGTGTAAAACAAGGTCAATGTTTACCCAGACGAACATCTTGCTGGCGAACGTTGCGGCGGCAGACATCATCTCACTATTATGGTGTCCAATACCTTTAGTGATTGGCCTTTCTGGTACAAACATCTCTGGAGAAACAGCAGACTACATTTGCAAATTCTTTACTGGATACTCAGTAACGTGTATTACTGTTCCGGTAACTTTCCTGAGTTTGATGATTTTAGCGGTGGAGAGGTTCCATGCCATCGTCAAACCCTTCAACTCTGCATTGGCGCTCACGAACAACCGTATGGGTTTTGTTATTGCTTTTATCTGGATCATGGCAGCGGCCCTTTCCTTGCCGGGGTTCATTTATAGTGAATACGATGAACAGTTAGGAAGGTGCCTGGATCCATGGACTCTTGAGAAAGCAGGTTCAGTGCAATGGCTTTTTGTCATGCAATTGGGTCTGTCTTTTCCTTTCTCGTGCTGTTTGTTTTATTGCTATTTTCAGATACTGAAAGGAATATTCATTAACAGAACTGTTTGTTCAGCAGAAACTGCATCTTCAAGGCAGTCGAATGTAAAGGAAAAGCGAAAACTCGCTTTAATTTCTTTTACTGTCACAGTTGCTTACCACTTGTGTTATCTGCCATTTTTGGTGTTTGAGCTCTACACAGCTTTTCAACCTTATCAAGCAATTTTGGATAACTACGAAGATTTCTATAAAGTTTATCGAGTCGTTGGGTTTGTTATGTACGTTAACTCATGTTTGAATCCGTTTTTCTATGGCTTTCAGAGCTCGAATTACCGAAAGAACTTTATAAGACTCTTTACTAGAAAAACAATGTCAGACAACAACTCCATGACGCTCTGGTAAAGCCCCCTTGTTGAAAAACAAAAACAAATTGCACTGATATAGCCCTATGAACCCTACTATGATGAAATTCAAGTTAATTAAGGATAACGCGATCTATTTT